GTTATTCATTGATTACACGAAATCGCATTGGTAACTCGATGTCATAAAACGTGCCTTTGTGAATAATTCAACAAGTAGTTAGTACAAGCATATCAGTCGAAGTTTATCTGTTCCTTCTAGAAATAGAAGCGATATCTGGGCCCCTCGATGATTTGGTTTTGACCTATGTACCGGGCCCGGTCAGAACCTAATTGATGTGTTCAATTTAGTTCTATGTCGAACCAAATCAGAGATCGAGAAACAAATGCTGGACAATAAGTAAGACCATGTTCCATGTGTTTGTCCGGCTGATATCATGAGAACAGAGGATTATATGATCACTTATCTTAAATGGCGTATCATCATCATCTCAGTTCCGAGAGACTTTGAAAGAGCTACGATTGCTAGTCGGATTTTGAAGTCATATTTACAAACATAGTTATTAGACTTATCCAAGTAGGAGACTGTTGGATATAGTGTCTAAGTCCATAACTTTATTTGGTATGTACTTGAACCGACCCGGCATGGTCCATTTGGGTTGCATGGCATTGCAATACTTGGATAGACTAAATGAGAGAATAAGGCACTTATGATTATTAATATATTATAAGTTCTAATATATTAATAATAGTATTATTTAATTAGTATTGATCAAGTATTAATCTAGTATTAATTTGGTGATCAAAGTGAGACTAATTAAATATATAGGGTTGATTATGACAATCATCAATTCTTTTATGGTGGATTAATGATCCATGGTTTATGGGTTTGGTTATAACCATATGGAGCTCCATGGATAGTCCATGGGAGTTACAAACCCATGGGTCATGAGAAATCAAGAGTCATGACAATTAAGGGCATTCATGTGTAAACCCTAATTGTGACAACACTATAAAAGGAACCCTATGGCTAGCAAAATCAAGACCTAGTGTTACTAGAGAGGGCATAACCGATTTTGAGTGCTAGAAGTATTCTCTCAAGTTATTCCAAGTCTTGTGGTGTTGTGTGAAGCATTTGAGGCACAACATTTGGGGTGCTAGGCTCACAAAGTCTTAAAGGAATCCAAGCAACAACAAGGTATGTATTTCTACTAGTTTTATGTTCTATGTAATCCCCATGCCATGCTAGTTAGGAAATAACCTTGAAAAGAAATTTGCATGTATATAGAGAAAACATAGATTCAAGGTTATTAGGGTTGCATGTACACTTAGGAAGTGTTAGAATGCTCAAAAACCCATCATAGGTCATATAAGGAAACCTATGTTCAGAGATTAGATAAATATGGTATCCCATTTTATCTACGTCCATGGGTTATAACTCCATGCTAGCAACGTAATTCACTAGACCTCCTAGAATAGTCAAGTGTTGTCATTTACTATGGTCGATGACCCAGATATACTTGCCAGTTGTCTGATCTTGACCCATCATTTATGGTAATCTAAGAAATAGGAGAAATACTCCGCTCTGATCTCACAACACCCTACCCCAGTCATGAGACCTAATCGATAACTAACTTAATTTCAACTAAGTATCCTTTAAAAGTCTTATTCCTAACCTAAGGCAAGAAATATACATAAAGGCAATCGATTTTCAATACAATTTTTAATTCAATAGTATTATCCTATTTATACAAATAGCATAAAGCACGGATAATACATGAAAACATTTACTGTCTCATATAAATAATATTTTTATTTTAGATTATGATATTGATAGAAACTATGCACTCACCTGACAAAAGTGTCTGGTGATTGGTGAATCGGCTAGAGCTTCGTCTTAAAACCTATTTCCAAAAGACCTAGATGTACATAATGCTAAGTCTTAGTCTATTATCCTAAGGGTTTTGATTCCTCAATAGTCCTAAATTTTACTTCAAAATCTAAATAAGGAATAACCAGGTAGGATCATATCAGAGGTAGGGCCCGTTTGCTATACATAGCATACTGTTTGGAAATCTCACTTTAAACAGCTCACTAAATCCAGCCTAGACATTACTCCCGTAAGTAGATCAAGCAGTATAACGATTTGGAATCATTGGTAATTCTTACTTATATGTTCCTAGTAATGACTTATAACTATGATTATAAATTACATGGAGGCAGAGTAAATGTATCTCACTTACAGAGTACTATCGATGAGTACCGGGAACTAGTCGGGCTGAATACTGACTCAGGATCTCCTGCTCGAAGGCTACTACTCAGATGAGTACTCGGGGGAGTCACAGGACTTCGCCACAGAGCAAAAGCATGGGAAAAATGTGCTAAATAACAAAAGTTTCAGATAGAAGTTGATAGAATCGTGGTGAGGATGAATGAAGGAATGAGCTGTTATTTATAGGTTGATTTCTTGGGATTCGCGTTGTGCACCATGGAGGCAGCCACGCTCCTAGTCGGGACATAGTGACATGGCGAAATGCTAGCCTGACATGTGGTGAAAAGTAGGTGGGGCTTCGTGGTCATGTCGGGCGCGTCGTGTGCCTGATGCGCACGTGTACCATATTTCCGATTTTCAAAATTGTGTAACTTCTTCATATAAACTCTATTTTTGACGTTCTTTATATCCTCGGAAAGCCCTCGACGAGATCTACAACTTTCGTTTAGACTTCATTGGGTAATTTTGACTTTATATTTTTCACACATACATAGATTGTTAATGCTCGTATAAAAAGCATAAATCTCTCATCCGGTGTCTATTTTTGACAGAGTGTTTGTTTATTGTTGTACTTGTGATATATATTCAGTTTACCTGTGATCCATGAACTTAGTCGCACAGCCCGACGCATTCAGTCGCCTTGGTCGGGGGTGTGACACATACAAAAGGAAAGAAATGTACTTCATGACATACCAGTGAAGAAAGACGTTGGAGAAATCGATTTCCAAAATAGATGTAACGCCTGGTTCCTGGTACGAATTTAAACTTAGAAATTATTCAATTTTATAGAGAAACTCGACGATTTGGATGCCCCAAACTCATCGAGTAGAGATTATTTGGACCGCATGTTTTAAGTGACCAACTCGACGAGTTGGGAGGCCTCAACTCAACAAGTTGGCTGAAGGAAATGAAACCCTAATTTCGGGGGTTTGCAACCTATTTAAACAACTTAAGCTCTAGGATTTAGCCTCATTTCCAGCCTCCAAGTCCCTAACCCTAAATCTCGAACCCTAATGCCCATTTGAGTGTTTGTGAACCATTTTGAGTGTTGTTGGTGTGTGATTCAAGCCCTTGGAAGAAGGAGAAGCTTGGAGACACAAGAAGGAGCCACTACATCCAGAATCCTTGCCTCATCCACAACATCTTGCTTTGAACCTTGTCTTCTGGTCATTTTTGCCCCATTTTAGAGTTATTTGCTTGTTTTTGGTCTAAATGATATGATTCTTGGGAGTTGGACATCCCAAATGGAGAACACTTCAGATATAGGGTCATGAGGGGTTTTCATGGCATAAAGGTGCCAAATTTATGGCCATGGAAGTCCCATGCAACCTTTAGACCATAATTTTGGCCTTTTGAGCTTCTAATGGCCATGCATGAAGAGAAAGCTGGAAATTTACAAGATCTTTTAGTCCCTAGAGTACAGATCTATGACCTCATGGTATATCTTGTAGTCTTGGTGGTTTTTGGATTAAGACTTTGGCCTTTTGGGTTAGGGTTTGAGCTTAATCTCTTTAGGAAAGATATTAATGGGTAAACTTGGAAACTTTACCCTTCTAGAGGCATTTCCAGTCTAGATCTGAAGTATAAGGTTTAGATCCGAAGAATATTAAGAAGAGGTTAACAGACTGAAGAACTCGACGATTTCATGGAGGAACTTGACGAGTTGACTTGAAATGTCCCGATTGTGCTGAAAAGGAAAAGCTCAGCGAGTTGGGGGGAAAGTCGACGAGTTAGAGCGCGATATCACGATTCTGTGATTTATGGAAACTCGACGAGTTGAAGGGTAACTCGACGAGTTGAAGGGTAACTCGACGAGTTGAGTCAACTCGAAGCGTCGACTTTGACTTTGACCTTGACCTTGACTTTGACCTTGACCTTGACTTTGACTTTGACCATGGTTGACCCTAAGGGGTTATGAGTATGAAATGATATCTAAGAGGTCGTTTTGGTTTAGGGGATTGAGTAGAACGGATTCCGGAGCAGAGACGTGTCAAGTAGCATCCGACATTCGAGGTGAGTTTCCTCCTATATGAACGGGTCGAAGGCACCAATATCGTCCCGTATTTATGATTGTATGTTACCGGACTACGGTCCGATGTCGGGCGGTTCCCGATGTATGTTTATATGTCTTCCCGACTACCGTCCGATGTCGGGCATATGTTTGTATGCTTGATGTCTACGTGATTTTTGCATGTGTCTGTGTTTGTATGTTTTCAGACTAAGGTTCGGTGCCGGGCGGTGCCCGATGAATGTTTATACGCTTTCCGGATTTTGGTCCGATGTCGGGCGTTTCCCGATGAATGTTTATATGTTTATGTTATGTGATTATTATATGTGTATTGTTGATTTGTTTATATGCATGTCGAGCTCAGCCCGACGCTGGGTGGGGCCCGATGCCGTACATTATCAGATGTCGGGCGGGGCCCACGATATGTTTATATATGATTATGTGATTATGTGTATGGTATGTGGTTGTTTGGCGAAGCTCGCTAAGCTTTGTGCTTACGGTTTTTAGTTTTGGCATCAGTACTTCTGGTAGCAAAGGGAAGAGTTCGGGATGATTGCATTGCACACACCATGATGTTTAGCATGGGATGTTTACTCTGATTTTTATTGTTATGGATATTATGATTCATGCTTTTGATGGAATGTTTTGATAACTACTGTTTATTTAATAATTTAAAATGAAATTTTTGGGACCATATTTTATGTGTGTTACAAAAGACATCGACATCGACATCCAAAAATATACATGAAACCACATTCATGGAATCGAGTGGAAAATCATTCTTAAAAACCTTCAGATGCTTCTTTAAACCTTCTTTAAACCCCAGTGTGTTCTCCTTCTTCATCGGTGAATAAGGGCTAAGATGGTGAAGATGCTGATTCTGATTTGTGGTTTTAGGAGTGGATGTGATCAAACAGATGAATGTGTAAATAGATATCAAGAAGATGAAGTCAAACACAAGGAAAAGAATCAGAAACGTGAGTCAACATGGATGCGAAAGGAAACAAATGCAGCCTCAAATGGAAATGAATCAAGGTTTGTTTCTTCTGTTGAATCAGTAGCTGATGGTTGACTTTTGTGTGTTTGACTCTCACCTGAATTTGGAATTGAGAACTAAGAACTGGAAATTAGGGATGATTTTGTTTGTTGATAGAAATGTAGGGAGTACCCTTTTAGGAATTTCCTGTTTATTATTGTTTATGCTATTGGGTGGTGTTGGAAATCTTATTATAGGTTTTAAGGGTTGGAGATGAAGAAAGGTTGATATTAAGATGCTTTTTCAAGAGCATAAATAGAGAAACGTGGCTCTCTGTTGACAGATCTAAGGGGTAACCAGCTTACCCCTTCAGTTTTTCAAAAAGGTCTATTTTAACCCAAAAAATCGAGTTTAAGCCCTTAAAATACCAAAAAAATAGATAAGTGATCTTTTAAAACAAACACGAAAAGTTTGTTGTGCTAATATGATATTTTCCCTTTTAGAAAACCTACTGTTTCGTAATGAATTTTGAAAGAAAAAAATTTTCCTTGAGTATACAAGCTCCAAACCGTAGGTTTCCGGTGAAAAATAGATGATTTTTAAAACCTAAGGTTCTGATGGCTGTTGGGGGTTATTTCTTAGTTTTTGGCTAAAAAGTGAGAACTCATTATGAAATTAGCTAGATTAGTCATTTTCTCCGAGATTTAATAAAGTTGACAAATGATGCTTAGGCGAAATTTCACAAATGATTCTTAGTAGAAGTTTCATAAAACATCAAAATATGTCTTTATCGAGAACTCCTTCAACTTAACGGCTTCATATAATGAACATTCATCAAAAAGACTACTACTAAACAATGTTTCGTAAAAAAAAAAAAACCATTTATACAAAATATTTTTCGATAAAACTGTTTTGAAAACAAAATCGAAACCATAAGTATCAATTGTAAAATTTTGTCTTTATTTTATTTTTTTCACATTGACACAGTAATTTCATGGTCACCGGACTATAAATAGCCCCAACCCCAAGATCCACATGCAATTTTCCGTCTATATTGCTGTGGCAAAGACGCGACTCTCTCTCGCTCGCTTGGTCGCTTTGTTGGATCTCTTCCTACTCTTCAGGTATCTATCTTTAGATCCGATTTATTTTTTCAAATCAATTTGGTGTAATGTTTCATTGATGTGTGAAGTTACCTAGATTGTTCCGCACCATTTCGATGTTTTTTTTGCTAAAAAATGGAGGAATTAGGGTTTTGTGACAATATTTTTTTAATACTCATGGTGATGAGAAAGTGAGTAATTATCAGATTTTATATGAAGTTTACAAACTCAGTGCGTTGTGTGATAGAGACATGGATAGCAAGGAGCAAAGAGAGAGACTGAAGAACATTGAAGCTGAATACGCCAATTACTTGAAAACAAAGTACTTCTCGGATAAAGATATCTATGGAGGTAAAATTCAGAACTTCTGATTTCATTGCAATCTAATTGACTCACACAAACTTTATGTATGATTTTTTTTTCTCATTTCATAGACTGGATTATATATTTCTTCATCTGCATGAATAGAAAGTGAATTGGATATGGAATAAAATGGAGCTTCATTATCTCCAATGTTTGTTTTGTCAAAGTGAAAATAGTAAACAGACTTTGCTTTTGGTGGATTTTTGCTAAATTTTGTTGGCAAATTGAGAAATATGATGTTTATTGTAATCTGATTATATTGTGGTCCTGAAATTTGCAACAATATTTGTTTATGACTTTGATGTTATTTGCTTTCCTTTTGGGCAATATGCTGGATGGAGTTGGCTGAGCAACCCCTCTTTAATTCAGTTAACCCAAAATTACATTCACGTCAAATGCACAAGTAAACATTGTGATTAAAATAATAAAACGATTATGATTATCTTTCATCTTTTTTATACCTAAATCACCTAGTATAATATACTAGTGATAAGTTCATGATTATGAGGGCATTAAATAAAGATAATTGTGTCTACTGACCATATAATATAATTGGATTGTAAAATGATAAAATTTTAATGCAGGTAAAATTTTTGAAGAGAAGACGATTGACGGAATGACTATTAGGGCAAGCAGGTAAATAATTTTAGTAAATCCACAAGTAACAAGTTTTATGTTTTGCAATTGCGATCCCAACATCATTCACTAAAGTGTTTTTTCTTTTTGACTTAATCTGGTAAGCTATATATGGTCGTTTCTTTCTGACTTAATACAGAAAGAACGATTTAATAAAGAAAGTCTCAGAAGTACTTACATTTTCTCACATATTTTTTATTTTTTATCTCAGCGAGGATGTGATTAGATCTTATCAGGATCCTCTTGGGTATTGGAATGAGAAGTACGCACCGCGTACAGAGTCTTCAACAGATTCAACAGAAACAACAACAACAACTACAACAACAACCAACCATTCGAAAGGAAACCACTCCTCTAAAAAGAGTGCTTAATATCAATATGTCTTTAAATCATATGCATATTTAGGCAGTTTTAAATGTTGCACAATGGATTTGTCACATAAAAGTAACAGTTGATGGTGGTATTTTAGACAGGCTAATGCTATGGATTTTCCACCCTAGCTCAATAAAGTTTTTTTTTCGGACTCACTTTTCTTGCTTAATAGCTACCGTTATGACCTGTTATAGCTTTATCAGCTGGCCACCCTGGATGTGGTGTCTGCTTGCCAAGGGGGTAACCGGTTGAAAAGACTAGACTGTAGTTTGTCATATTGGTGCCCAAAATGAACTTAAGATGACAAATTGTATAAAACGGCTCTAAAAAATTAAACTATTTTTCTTGTGAAATTTGTTTGTTTTTTCTTTTTGTAAAACGACATCGTCGTCTTGGGAAGTGATGAATATTTTGCAAAATAATGTTCACCGGTAAAAGATAATGATGTTATCTCACAAAAAATGAATTTTAAAATAAATAAATAAATAACAAATCAGTAAAGTGTTTTTATGTAAGCGTTTTTGAGTAATGACTTAGTAGATATAAGGTGATTTATAGTGCTAGCTTTTGTCATATTTGATGAATATATTACAAGTAATACTTGATTAAATGGTGGTCATTTTATTATATTCTTTATCTATTATGGTAAATTTGGTGATTATCCTTAAAAACATTAAAACAGTTTACACTAATTTATAGCATTACGGAAAACCATAAAATCATATCAAAAGCCACAACCGAGTCTTGATAGATTGGATAAAAGGGAACGTTAATTTTTTAAAGGAGTATTCCCATTTAGAACAGGTTCTTTAAAAGATACTTCACAATGTGGTCAAGATACAAAAACTTTCTTTCTTTTAATAAAAGACAACGTTAAATATCAGATTCTTACAAATGTATATTTGCTAATGGAAATCATTTAATGGGAAAAAACGTATAACAAATGAGAAGAACCAAACTCTCTTACTATGTAATATGATGAGGAATTATAATCATGCGTAGCTAGCCCTAGAAATAGCAAAGTTGATTTAATTCAATCACAATCAGAGAAACAATTAAAGACCGTAGAGCATGTAGATCTAATGAAGACTTCTATTATAATATTGTACAAGAATATGTTTGGTTTTCTGACTTGAATGGAATCATCGGACATCGATCATGGTGTACAAAAAGAAAATGTGTTTCTTATACTTGGTGTATCAACTATTGAGATTGGCATTGGTGTTTCCTATTACGTGACTGTTGAGATATGTTTTTGGGCGATAAAACTTGTAAATAAGTTCGATGATCATTTTTTGAATGCTTCTCTAATTTGTGTTATCGAAAAAAGAAAAACTATAAAAGGCTACAAATGAAGTTATATTCGATTGTTTCCAAAAATAAAAGCTCTTAGAGGACAACTATAGTATGTTATGTAATAGAATTATAATTTTTTTCGTATCCCAACCTATATCCAGATCATGGATCTGCCACTACACCAAGGTGTACACATACATATAACAACTGAAGAACCGAGATGAGACTAACGACAATTGCATACCTATCTATAAATGGTGACTTTTGAAACATTTTGTCCTAATGCATAACGCTACTTGCTTGTCCATATAATAGTTGAAGTGGTAAAAGGCAAGGTTTCAAATTTCAACTAGAGAGAAATCATAAGTTGCTAAAAATGTATATGCCAAAAGAATATGAAATAAATTTTCGACTGATTATGTGACAATCTAACTCTATAGTTGAAATAATCAGTTTCAAACTTCACATCCAAACATATAAATCTCAATCAAAACTAAAAGAAATCCAGAAAATGATATACAAACTACTTCTAAAAGGTAAATGATCAATTTAGGAAATATCTATATAAAAACAACATCAGATGAAGTGAGATTCATTACACAACGAAAATAGTTTTTTTCTCTTTTCCATATATGGTTAACAATGACTTAATCTGACCATAAAAACAAATCATGACATCTGAACCTAAGAAACCATTCTAACTTTACTAACAAGTTAACATATATCAAGTAGTTAAATTTAAAAAATTCAAAGAAAGTTGTTTGATTTAACTTACATGAGAACAATACATGAATGGACAATGAAGGATATTTAAGGAGAAAAGAAACACTTCTTGATTTTTTTGAAGTAAGAACGAGAAGAAGATTAGTAGATTCCTCGTTGAAAACAACCACATCCACAAAAGTCAAAGAAAATTGACTGTTATGCAATTTAACACCTTATAAAAGTCATTGTATTGTATAATTTTTCCACGCAATTGTGTTCTATAGTAATCGGCCCATACTCTCTTAGGGTGTGTAAGTGAACCTTGGGGGAAGATGCTAATAGTTATTTTACCAAAACTTAACAAGTTCTTCGAGCATCATAAACAAAGTTTATAATAAGAAACACAATATTTTGATTTATATCACCATAAAATACAAAGAGTTAAAGAATATAATACTTCTTCCAATCAACAATTACATATCGTGAATAGTCCCTACATAACACCCAAGACTCTTCTAGCATCCAAAGTCCTTCAGCTCCCTGTCCTTTGGAACACAATCATATGCATTTTTTCAGGTCAATAAACACCATATGGAGGTCCCTATTTCTTTCTTTAAACCTTTGTATAAGACATCTAAGTAGGCAGATCACCTTAGCTGTATACATCATATGTCTAACATCCCAAAAATCAAGGCAAAATTTTCATTTTTAAAAAACATCCCAAATACCATAAGTTTACAAAACAAGTTCCCAAAAATCATTATCATAAATCAGAGTATCCCAAAATCATCCAAACACATAAAATCATGGATGATGTGCATGATCAAGACTTCGCCTTTCCCTTGTCCTCTGAAGTACTCGAAACCATAAAATTCAAACATAAGTCAAAGCTTAGTGAGTTCCCCAAAATACAACCACACAACATATAACAGCATGCACACTGGGCCCACAGTCATCGGACTGGATTACCCCTGAGCGAACAGCATGAGTCTGGTTTGCCCACCTGGCCTAGAACGCATGTCAGGATTGCTCCCAAACCCACAACATACGTCTGGATTGCCTTTCGGCCCACAACTTATTTATGGCTTGCTCCTAGGTTTGTTGGCTTCCGCACAGAGCAGTACTGCCTCAACCCAACCGCATTATGTCGACATATGCAACAGATAAAACGCATAACAACAAATAGATAATCATCCAAATCTAACAGATCACAACAACATAGAAACGTCCTATACTAGGATACGTAGTCTAGTGGGCCGACATTAGTGCCTTTGACCCATAAGTGTAGTGAGGAAAACTCACCTAACGGATTGAAAAATAGTTGAACAGATCATTGCTCCTAATATTGTCTCTACAAATCACATATACAATTAACAGGGACCCCAACTCAAACTACTATACAAATTACCCAAAATGCCCTTGAGTCAAACTATACAAATTGTCCGTTTGGAAAAGACGAACACCGAAGCCACCGAACCGATGCCCATGCTATTGAGAAAACTCCTTCCATAAGCAGTAAAAGGGCGACCTCTCTAATATCGCAAAGGACCTGATATCCAAGTTCGATGTCAAACAGAAGAATGCCCAAACTCAAAAAAATGTAGGCAACCGCCCAGAGAAAAAGGGTGACATCTTCACCTTCGCCGGGCCCCGCAAAAAAGGCGAGCCCCACAAAGAAAGGGATGATTGTGACATCCCCCATTTTTCAGAACCAATTAAGACATTTTCTTTACGCTTTATAAATTGAGATGCGGAAATTCCCAGTTAAATAAAACATTTTAAAATAAGGAAAGTTATTTTATTAAAACCTTGAGGATGTCATTTGTTCATATCCAAAAATACATTACATCGTAAAGTATAGAAGGTCCTGAAACTAATTATTATACGCACGTCTCTTTATTTTACTCAACATTCTAACTAGACTTCGACAACCTTACATCCACTACCTGTGATACATCAAAATTAGTAGGTCAGGTTTGGGAAAACCTGGTGAGATGCATAGGGTATTCAAGCCCATAATAATTTAATGATAAAAATAATATCATTCCCGCAAACCACTTTACCAGATAATATAAAATCTGACCTAAGACCAACTACCCAACCTAACCGATCGTCAAAGATCTTAAAGCAATGATTATTTGGAGGAATCACCTAAACAGATGAATCGTTTGAGTCACTGTTTGACTACACGGCTAGGGGCTCCATGGCTAGTGTAGGTCATATAAGGAAACCTATGTTCAGAGATTAGATAAATATGGTATCCCATTTTATCTACCTCCATGGGTTATAACTCCATGCTAGCAACGTAATTCACTAGACCTCCTAGAATAGTCAAGTGTTGTCATTTACTATGGTCGATGACCCAGATATACTTGCCAGTTGTTTGATCTTGATCCATCATTTATGGTAATCTAAGAAAGAGGAGAAATAGTCCGCTCTGATCTCACACACCTTACCCCAGTCATGAGACCTAATCGATAACTAACTTAATTTCAACTAATTATCCTTTAAAAGTCTTATTCCTAACCTAAGGCAAGACATATACATAAAGGCAATCGATTTTCAATACAATTTTTAATTCAATAGTATTATCCTATTTATACAAATAGCATAAAGCACGGATAATACATGAAAACATTTACTGTCACATATAAATAATATTTTTATTTTAGATTATGATATTGATAGAAACTATGCACTCACCTGACAAAAGTGTCTGGTGATTGGTGAATCGGCTAGAGCTTCGTCTTAAAACCTATTTCCAAAAGACCTAGATGTACATAAAGCTAAGTCTTAGTCTATTATCCTAAGGGTTTTGATTCCTCAATAGTCCCAAATTTTACTTCAAATTCTAAATAAGGAATAACCAGGTAGGATCATATCAGAGGTAGGGCCCGTTTTCTATACATAGCATACTGTTTGGAAATCTCACTTTAAACAACTCACTAAATCCAGCCTAGACATTACTCCCGTAAGTAGATCAAGCAGTATAACGATT